TTGTCAAAGTAGCCACATGGTAATATGATGTCAAGGCAATAATGGAGACTTGGGAACATTGCTTAACAAAAACATTACAATGTTGGGGAGAAATTATATCCTGGAAATGTCAAGGGAAGAATCTATTTGGCTAGAGCTTAAACAGCCCAAAGTTACTCCGCAATATTCTGTGTATTCTACAGGCTACCAACTTATAGAGAAAGATGTAAAGGAACAAATTTGGATAAAAATTACATGGTCAAGAACTGTACAGTAGTTACAATGTGGGCTTAAATTATTCTAATACAGATGAGGATAATGATAATAATTTCAAGAGCAGAAAGGGGGAAATCTTTATAAGTGTGTTCAAGACAATTTTCTAGATTGGTATATTACTGACTGAACAAGAAAGGAAGCTCTGCTAGATCTGGTTCCAAAGTGAGGTGGATCAAGTAGATCAGGAGGGAAAAATTTAAGGGATACAAGGTCACAAATTTCATGTTTGCTATGGAAAAACATAAGGAGCAATTCAGGGTAAAAACAATTATTTGGGGGACAGCAGATCTAACATATTGGAAACAACGATTGGAAGGTAAAACTTCACCTGAACAACAGTCTGCCTTCAATGAGAAGATGGCTTGGTTCAATTGAATTACATTACCACAAGGAGTAAAAGTAAAACAAACAAATCCAGCACTCCCAGATTGATGAAGATCACTAATATACATCAGGAAAAGCAATCTTGAGGGATTCCACTACAAACATTTCTCTAGCCCAAAAAAATTTAACAGACCATTACCCTCTGTTTCCTATCATACAGCCAATTTTATATCCACATTGCTACTGATCCTTTTATACCATGACCTGTAAATCTCCTCACAAGTCTGTTGTGTAACACTGTACCAAATGCCTTCTGCAAATCCACGTATATGATCACATCAGCAGCATCACCCTATTGGGTTTTTGTTACCTCTTCAAAAAATGGCAGTAAGTTAGTTTAACATGATTTCCTCTTTAGAAATCTATGCTGACTCTTTCTAAGCAACCTACCTTTATCCATGTGACTATAATCCTGACCCAAATACTTGCTTCCAACGAAGTTAAACTGAATTGTCTGTAATTGTTGGGATTATCCTTACAACCTTTCTTGAAGAAAGCTCTAATGTTTGCATTCTCCAGTCTTCTAGCACCTCCTGAGTCAAAGGAAGACTGAAAGATTATGATCAGTATCCTCTCAACTTCTACCCTCACTTTCCTCAAAATTCTTGTATGCATCTCATTCAGTCCTGATGCCCTGTCAACCTTAAGTACCAACATTCTATCCAATATCTTCCTTATTAATTTTGAAATTCTTCTTGCAGTCAGTGTTTCCTCCTCATGGCCTGGGCAGCACCTTCCTCTTTTGTAAAGATAGATGCAAAGTATTCATTTATAACTACACCACATTCCCTGCCTCCAGCTGTGAATCCCCTTAATAGGCCCTACCCCTCCTTTAACCAGTTTTATTTAACTATTTATATGCCTACAGAAGACTTTGGGATTCTGCTTTATATTAGCTGCTAATCTTTTCTTACAATTCTTCGTCACTTCTCTTATTTGATTTTTCACTGCCCCTCTAAATCTTTGCTATTTCTGTTGTGTCCCGATTGTATTTTCTGCCTTATACCTGTCATAAGCACACTTCTCCCTTCTAATGTTAATTTCTACCTCTGTTGTGCTCCAGGAAATTTTGGATTTGTTTATCTTACATTTCCAATCACACAGAATATACCTTAACTGTCCCCAAAATGTCTGCCCATTATTCAGTCATTATTTTTCCCACCAACCTCTTGTTCCAAGCAAACTTGCCCTTCCATGTTCTTGCCACACTGAAGTGGAGGTGCCGATGTTGGACTGGGGTGGGCAAAGTCAGAAGTTACACGACATCAGGTTATAGTCCAACAGGTTTATTTCAAATCAGCAACTTTCAGAGCGTAGTCCCTCTTCACCTGATGAAGGGGCTACACTCTGAAAGCTTGTGATTTCAAATACATCTGTTGGGCTATAACCTGGTGTTGTGTGACTTCTGCTTTTGGCACACTGAAGTCAGTCTCTGCCAACTGATTTTTCTTATTCTGGATTGTTTCATGTCAATCTCTACCTTATAATACAATTGATTTGACCATCTCCTAAATGTTCCACAGCTGGCACTTGATCTGTTTGGCCTACATAATTTCCGAGAACCAAAATGGAAAACTGATTTATGAACTGGACCCTGGTGGAACTCCTGCTCTATCTGCCTGTTTCTTTTGGATTTCCTGGTGGTCACCCATTCTTTTCCTTCTTCCAGGCAATTACGCTGTAGCATGACCACATCTGTAAACATGCTGACCACGTAACTCTCAGCCTCACAGATGTGCCACAGTGTCTCTAGCTGCTGTTTGAGCTCCAAAACTCACAGCCCAAGCTTCTGCAGCTGGGAGCACTTCCTGCAAACATGGTTACCTCAGAGTGGTAAGGTCCATGACTCCCCACATATTATATACAGATAACACATTCCACTTGACCGACCTGGTTTGCCATGTCTTAAAATTATGCTTACTTAGTCACTTACTGACCTAGATTTAGATATACAAGGTACAACTTCAAAATTTGTGAATTACACAAAATTTGGAAGTATTATGAACTGTACAGAGTATAGGAATACCCTTCAAGACCGACTGCACAGGCTGATGAAACGGTTGGCAGATGATAAAGTGTAAACTGATTAATTTTGATAGGCGGGACAGTGAAGGCAATATTAAAGAAGTCACAATTCTGAAGGGGATGATGGTGTAGGGGAATATTGAGGTATATGTTCATGTTCACATATCACTGAAGGTGGTAGGGCAGGTTAAGTTGAGAAAACAGTTATCGAAGTGTATGCAATACTAAGCTTTATAAATAAGGACATGGTATACAAAAGCAAGGGAGTTATGATTATTTGTATAAAAGACTAGTTTAGTCTCAACTGGGGTACGCCATCCAGTTTTGGGCACCACACCTTAGGAAAGATGTAAAAGCATTAATACAGGGTGCAAAACAAAAATCGCAACAATGGCTCTAAAAACAAGAAATTTCAATTTAGGTGAATAGACTGGAAGAGATAAAGCTCTTCAGCCTGAGACAAGAAAATACTCAGAAGAAGAAATTTAACTGAGAGTTGTTCAAAATCACAGAGAATCTATGCAGCTGTTCATGGAAGAATCAAGAACCAAAATAAGATTGATTTAAGATGTGTGATAAAAGAAGCAAAAAAGTGACATGTGGGTAAACGTTTTAATGCAGTTAATAGTTAAGATCTGGAAGGCAAACCCTGAAAGTGTGGCAAAGGTAGTTTCAATCAAAGCCTTCAAAAAATGGAACTGAAAAATTATCTGGAGAAACAGAATTTACAGGCCTATCGTGAAAAGATAGGTAAGTAAAATGAACAGAGCTGCTCTTGCAGAAAGCCAGCAGAAGCATGAAAAGCCAAATCACCACCTTAATGTGCTGTAGCCATTACACCATATATTATCTTTTATATGCTACTCCAAAAAAGTTTTCCCCATCTCTAGTTTGACAGAAAATACCCAGCACCTCACACAAATAATTTTAAGAAAATAATTTTGCTTATGAAACATATATATTATTAAATGTCAATGTGTCTTTTTTTACTGATACCTTTAATGAGGATTTTTTAAGTTCACCAAGCTTGCTAATTAATGCAATAGAAATGGCAACGATTTCTACATCGCTTTTATCTTTGCGAGATTTACATATCTTTTCGTGGATTTTCAAACTGGTCTTCATGCACAGGTCTATGCATTCACCACCAAGATCACTAGAAGAGGAAATACATTTTGATTTCTCATAATAAAATACATTACAAAAATTATGAAAGTAAAAGTAATCATAAAGATGAATTGTTGTTTGCCAATGATCAGATACATATTTTTAAATTGAAGAATAGTAAAAGAGAACTTATGATACAGAAATAGACTGCAATTTACAATCTATAGGAAAGAATTAAATTGCAGGCTTTTAGATATCCATAAGATTAACTGGCACCCAAAATTACCACACTAAAATTTGAAATGGGCAAAATGAAACACAAAGCACGCACAATTCAGACCAAACCTCTGGGAGGTGGCATGCAGAAGTTTACATTTCATCCCATGCTTTTGTTCACGATATACTTTATCCCACCTCAGCTAAAGAAATGCAGGTTCACATTTGCAAGCACAGATTTATATACACATGTATAAATTATAAATAAATCAATTTATATACACAAAATTACAGACATTTCCAAACTGCTTCCCAAAATAGTAAACCATCCCTTTCTGATTCTTTCAAAATCTCTGATTGTTTCAATTTTGTAAACATTTTCTCCACTGATTTTATGCAGAAGTTAAGTATTATTGAAAATTCTTCTATGCATTGCAACTTGCAAAATTCTCATTAAAACCAAAAGTCAGATTTCTGTACAATTCTTCCACACATACCACCTACATTTCTTGCCCAAATCCTAAATGCATCCAAAAACATAGAACGAAGAAACAGTCTTTTTTTAAATCTAAGTCTGACATGATCTTGCACACCTCGATTAAATCTTCTCTTAATCTCCCCTATTTCACTACTAGAGAACAACCCAAGTCTTCCCAATCGAACCATGTAACTAACCACCTCCACTAATACCCTTTCTCATGACCCAATCCCTGGAACCGTTCTAGTAAATCTCCTTTGCAACTTCTCAATGGTCCTAATTGGATCTTTATGGAGATTCAGTATTATGTCCCTATTTTTGGTGCTCTGTGTCCTAATTTATGAAGCTGAAGGTCCCACACACTTAGCTAACAAACAGATATCCATCATTGTGCAATGGCTCTCAGCATCTGTATTTTTCTTTCAATCTGGCAGACTTTCAGTTCAAAATAGAGTAAAGCTATTATTATACTGAAAGGCTTGTATGCCAAGTAACATTAGATTTGACAGGAAGGGAACTGAAATTTGAGAAACATGTCAACAAAGTTGTCGAAAGATGCTGCCTTGTAATTTAAAAAAGTGGTTTGTACATATATCCAATTCAGTAAATAGGTTATATAATAGTCATTTGTTTGCTGCCAGATCCATTCTGTTTTAATTGCTGGGCACCAAACATTACAAGGAATACAATTAGCCACATGTGGCTAGTGCCTAATGTGCTGGGCAATACCAATTTAAACCAAAATGTGATAGATTTAAGATGCAAAAGATAGATGAGAACATAAGGAACAGGAAGAATAAGAAATATGGCCCTTTAAATCTCTTCTGTAATTCAACATATTGGCTAATCACTGCTACCTTTTCCCTCAACTTCAGCTTCCCTCATTTATTTGCACGACCCATACTTTCCTTAATATCCAAAAATCTATTGATTCCCATCTTGAATGTGTTTAACGACTGAACATCTACAGCTCTCCAGGTTAGAGAATTCCAATGGTCCATCCTTCGAGTGAAGAGATTTCTCATCTCAGTCTTAAAATGCTCAACACCTTTTGAGACGGTTAGAACTTCCCAGACAGGACAAACATCATCTCAGTACCTATCTGATCTAGGCCCTTAAGAATTTGATACCTTTCAATCATTCTCATTCTTCTAAACACCAGGAACATAGATGTCGTTTAGTCAATCTCTCCTTATAGGACACTTTTTTTAGTCTAGGAATGTGTTTACAATAGCAGAACAATTTTGATATAGAGATTAGATGGACATATTTTGTTATTAAAAACCAGTGTACCTGTTTTGATGACTGTCCACATTTTCTTTCACATGTTTCAACAGATTTTCTAAATTCTATAAGCACAAGAGATAAAATACAATATAATTAAGATAAAATTTAGTAATCCAATGCCCAAAAATATTTTGTAGTAAAGTTTAAGTAAAATGTCCATGTATATAAGTATATACTTTGTAAAGTCTACAATACAGGTCATCATTGTGATTCCAAGGTATATCACAAACCATCTGCCCAATCAAGAAAATACATACATCATTAAGTGCTTTGAAAAAAAAAATCTGAATGCTCAAATGCATACAAAGGGAGTTAAATTGTTTAATCCCTAAACCAGGTGCAGGGATCGTGATTAACACATTTCCGCTAATTGCGACATAGATTGGACACCAATTTCTTTGAAAAGTTACAACTTGTTTCTGGGTACTAGTTGTCAGAGAGGGAAGAATTATATTTGTATTGGATCTTATCATAAGTATACATTCCAAACAACTAACAACCATTATTTTTGTTTAAGTGCAACATCCACCGTTATGTGGGAAAACCGTCAATGGCGACATGTTCCCATTTAAAAACTGAGATCAAACGATTGGGGCTCTTTAAAAAAAATAAGAAAGTGAATCTGTAATTTCTATAAACTTTAAGTGGTTTGCCCAGAGGGAACATTAAACACGTCACTGTTGTCAAACACACCTTATTTATGCTTGAAATGGAACTACTGTTTCTCAGTCTCTGGAAGATTCCTTGTAGAATATCAAACAGGTCAGGTGTCATCATTTTTAAGTAGTCAGGCAAAAATTCCATAGGCAATAAGCTGAACCAAGACCGAAGTAATAGTCTATCTACTGTTGCTAAATGTTTGTTTTTGTCCATCAGATCAAGCAGATCCCTTATTAAAATAATTCACAAAGTTAGACAGATTACATATTATTGTATACACAGATACACAACCACAAATATTTTCAAAGGGATTTACTTCAAGGCCTTTTACAAATATGAAGATTTTATTAAAAATTAAACACAATCGACATATGTTGTGAAAGGTGGTAAGGTGTGGAAAGATTAATACTTCAAACACTTCTTTAACTATGAATCAGAATTCAGACATTCAAGAAAACAAATAATAATTTTGTTGCCTGAGATATCAATATCGTTCTCCCCCATTTAAATTATGTTTACAGAGGCATGAACAATAATCTGATGTATTACTAATAGTCCATTCATTCCATGAAATTTGACAGTAAATACTATTAGGCTATTGAACCATAAAGATCATGCCATTTTGACCAGCACACATTTTCCAAACGTGATCATTGGATAGGGACAAAGAGCAGAAATCTTGACTAATCTGCATCATGGTCTGGCAACAATAGGCTGGAAGCATGGTCTTCTATTTCTGAGATCACCTAATTCAAGTCCAAAGATATACAGGTTTGGTGGATTGGCCATGCTAAAACTTGCCCTGTAATGTCCCAGGATGTGCAGGTTTGGTGGGTTAGCCATGTTAAAAACCCCAGACAGGGTTTTGGGGATTGGATGACATGGAAGGTGTATGGCACATATCAGTCCAAGCATAAATATTACAAGGAAATGACAGGAAAATCACAGCAGGTCTGACAGCAATTGTGGAGAGGAAGCAGAGTTAACATTCTGGATCCAGTAACCCCTCTTCAGAACAAATGCATTAATGTTGTCTAGCAATATTTCTTCATATGGACAAAGCTGCTTCCATATCTAAGGAATTGCAAATGATTGAAAACATGAACACTCGTGCAAACATTCCCACTTCTGATCTATTCATGGATGAAAGGTCATTGATGAAACAGCTGGAATTGGTTGGATCTTTGCTTTAGCAGTTTCCTGATACATGGGAGTCATTGAATTGGTGGAAGATATGCATTTGTGATGCTGGGGACCTGACATGAAAGTTAGGATGAAGCATTCACACATTTGTGGTTTAAAATGTTTGCACATGCTTCAGTCTTTTTCTTTGTATTCAGTGATAGTAGGAACTGCCGATGCTGGAGAATCTGAGATAACAAAGTATTGTCATTTTTCTGAAGAAGGATTCAGACCAAAACGTCAGCTTTCCTGCTCCTCTGATGCTGCTTGGCCTGCTGTGTTCATCCAGCTCTACACCTTGTTCTTTGTATTGATGTGCTGGGTTTCCCCATCACTCAGGATTGAGGCATTTGTGCAGCTTTCTCCTCCAGTTAGTCGTTTAATTGACTACCACCACACAGAATAATGTGGACAGCACTGCAAAGTTTTAATTGATTCTTATTTTAGCACAGCAGAAGCAGCTGATGAAAAACTTGAGTTATTCTAAAGGTAATAGTTTTTAAACACATTATAGTTTGCAGGTCAGCTCAGCCAAATGGAAAGTGTGAACAGTGATATGTCATGGACTCTCAATATCCCTGACAAGCACATCTTCAGAAAATGTCATCACCTACAGACGCTTGAATTTGAGCAGCAGCTGAAGCACTGTTTTGCATTCAGGAGGTAGATGCCTGTGCGGATAGCACGATAAGGAGGTGATCACACTGCAAATTAGGAATGTACAAGTAAAGAGGGAAACCAGGTAGACAGTGCAGGAGTGAGCCTATTCTGTTTGTTAACCAGTTTTCCATTCTGGATCCCGAGGAGGGTGATAGTTCCTCAACAGAGTGTAGCTAGAGCCAAATCTGTGGTACTATAGGCAACTCAGCTGTACTGGAGGGTACAGCAATAGTGATAGGGGATTCAATAGTCAGGGATCATACAGGCAGTTTTGCAGCAGTGTATGTAGCTCCATGCATTGCCTAAGTAAAAATGGAAAAATCTGTGGATGCTGTAAATCAGAAACAAAAACAGAAATTGCTGGAGAAGCTCTGGCAACATCCGTGGAGAGAAATCAGAGTTAATGTTTCAGGCTGAGTGATCCTCCTCAGAACTGGGGAAGGGTTAATCGACCCAAAACATTAACGATCACCACAGATTTTAATGTGGTCAGCACTTGTCCAGCAATTTCTGTTTTTGTTCCGTGCATTGCCTCCCTGGTTCCAGGGTCAAGCACCTGCAGGAAATCTTTCTGGGGCAGGGTGAACAGCGCAATATCATGGCTCACAGTGGTACCAACAACAAAAGTAGGAAGACAGGCCGCAAGATGGCTCAGTTGTTAGCACAACGGTCTCACAATGCCAGGGATCAGGTAAGACTCCAAGCTCAGGCGACTGTCCATGTGGAATTTGCACATTATCCCCATATCTGTGTGTGGGTTATGTGGATCGGCCATGCTAAATTGTCCAGTTTCCACGAACGTGCAGGCTTGGTGGCTTACCCATGGTAAATGCAGGGTTACAGTGAAAGGGTGGGGGGGTGGAGAATCTGATGTGGGATGCTCTTCTGAGGGTCGGTGTGGATTTGATGGGCTGAATGGCCTGCTTCCACACTGTAGGGATTCTATGATTCTACGAGAGATGAGTCCTGAAAGCAGACTTTAGGGAGTCAAGGAGGAAATTATAAACCAGAATTCAAAAGCAGTAATCTCAGGATTACTCCCTGTGATATGTGCTTGTTCACTGGCTGGAGTACTGAACTGATGTAGGGTGGGATGGGATATCAGATTTTTGAGGCATTAGGACTGGTTCTGTGGCAGGTGAGGCTTGCATAAAACGGCCAGGTTACCCCTACACAGAACTGGGAATAATACCCTGACAGGGAGATTTGCTAGTGCCGTTAGTATGATTCAAACTAGTTTGTCAGGGAAATTGCAACCTGAAGGATCAAATTAGAAAGAAATAAAATAGCTAACCGGAAGTGGAAACTTTGCAAGTGAAATTAAAAGGCAAGTGAAATAAGGATGAATGTCAACTAAGATTTGAATGCAGAATGAAATCAAAAAGCCAAAATTAAGGGAACTGTATCGGACTGCACGCAGGATTAGCAACAAGGGTACATGATTTAAAGACAAAAATAAAGGTAATTGCGATGGCAGAAACATGGCTGCAAGGTGACCTAGATTGGCATGAAGAAAGGGAAAAGAGGTAGTATTATGCCCTCAATAAGGGATGCAATCAGAACAATAAGGAGGGACAATCTTAGCTTAGAAGAACAAAACTCAGAATCAGTTTCAGTGCAGTTAAGAAACAGTAAGTGGCAGAAATATTGACAGGTGTTGCTTATAGGCTACCAAATGGTAGTAGGAGTAGTACTAGGTGTGGTATTCTTCAGGAGATTAGAGGAGCATGTAGCATGGGTAATACAGTAATTATAGATGAATTCAATTGGCATGTAAACCGGACAAATGTAACAAGCACTAATGTGAAGACAACTAGTTTCTGAAGTGCAGTGTGTTGTGTAAGTGACTTAAGAGCAGATTATTTTACATCAAGCATTACGTAAACAAAAAAGAGCTCATTAATAATCTTACTGTAAACAAACCTACAGGGGTGAGTGATCATATCATAAAATTCCACATGATGTTTGAAAGTAAGGTAATTCAATCTGAAGCCAGGGTGTTAAATTTGAACAAAGGAAACTTTGAAGGTATGAGGGGCAAACTGGCTGAGGTGGACTGGGAAAGTACATTAAAAAATATGGCAGTACAAAGAAATCATATAGTTTTTATTTAGAAGCTTATCACAGCTTACAGCAACTATACCTTCCTTGAAGGTACAAAGTCCCCAAAAGTCAGTTAACCATGGCTATTAAAGGAAGTTAAGGATCTTATAGCATTAAAAGAATGGCCTGTATTTTGCTAGAAATAGTTGTAAAAATGAAGATTGGGAGGATATTTAAAAACAGCAGAAGAGGACCAAGGAACTGATAAAGGCAGAATAGAATATGAAATTAAACTAACAAAAAACATAAAGAAAATGTAAAAGCTTCTACAGGTACATAAAATGGGAACGTTTTGTCAAAACATATGTGGGTCATTTACAGGGAGAATCAGGAAAATTTATAATGAGAAATACAAAAATAGTAGAGAAGCTAAATGATTACTTCACTTCTATCTTCCTCACTGGTGTCAGAAGTTATATCTCAGAATTAGAGATTCAAGGGACGAGGAAGAATAAAGAATTGAAGCAAATTAATAAGAAAGTTACATTGGCGAAATTGATAAGACTGAAGGTTGAAATGTTGCCTGCTTCTGATATTCCATATCTGGGAGTGTTGAAAGACATATCTGTGGAGATAACGAAAGCATTGGTGATCATCTTCCAAAACTCTATAGATTCTGGAATAGTTCTTGCAGATTGGAAGATAGCAATTATTACTCCATCATTTAAAAAGGGAGGAATGGAGAACACTGACAACTACAGACCTGTTAGCATCAGTAGTAGGGAAAATGCTAGACACTATTACAAAGGATGTAATAAATGGACACTTGGATAATGATGATCTGGTGGAGCATTGTCAGCATGAATCTGTGAATGGGAAATAGTGTTTGGCGAACCTGTTGTAGTCTTTTGAGGATGTCACTGAGAAAATTGATAAAGGGGAGCTGGTTAACAGAGCATACCTAGATTTTCAGAAAGCTTTTAATGAACTCCCCTGCAGATAGTTGATAAGCAAAATTAAAGTATAAAGGATAGGAGCTGTATATCTTGGAAACTGAACATTTCCTAAAGGCTAAACCTTACAAAAAGGACTGCCCAATATCAGAACAAAAATACAGTTGAGCAAAGAAGGGATAAATGGGGTTGAGACACAGAATTGCTATGAATTAACTGAATGGCAGACAGGCTCTGGGAACAAAATGGCCTAGACTTATGTTTCCAGTTCCTATTTAATATTTCAAATTAATGAAATTTTGTCAAGAGCCAAACTCCAATATCAACTCTTTCTCTCAACAGATGCAGTCTGATCCAATGGTACTTTAGCATTACCTGTTCTTATTTCAAACTTCCAGCATCCATAGTATTTTGCTTTTCTATTTCCTACTTACACTCTACACACACTTGCACGTGCGTGTGCATGTGTAAATTTATATCTATACAACTTTACATCCCAGACGTGCAAACAAGCACATGCACAAACATGTGTGCATACTATATACATGGATACACCCAAAGGCAGACACACACATGCTGACACTTTCAAATACACAAACATTTACTCCATAAAAGAACATAATGCTGACCTCTTCACACAGGAATCAGAGGGACAGGTGAAGAGAAGAGCATGCCATTCTGTCTGGGGATCCAATTTCTTAATAAGGGACTTGACTGCCAATTAACCTAACAAGTCAACATAACATCAGAGGTAATGCAATGATCTTGTCTATATATGAGCCCATGAGGATACTGTGTACCAATTGGCCTATTGTCATGCAGTCGGTTTAAATAAAGGCCTACCTTTTGAATTTATTTTGGACTTCGCTTCTGAATTTGACAATTGGAAGTCCATTTAGTCCAGTCCAGCTGCCTTCAGTGTCCAGAAATTCTGGGCTTGCTTGATTAGATGAAACACCAAACAAATGGAGAACAGGAATGGTTTGCACCCATTTTATGATTCCCTGATTAATACACCTCAACATCATCCTCTTCAGTAATGTTTCAATTCTATAAAAATGATTTCAGATATATTAAAACATGGAAATTCAGATTCACTTAAAGTAGCACTATGACTCATTCATGGTTTTGATATATGAGACCACAGAAGACATCATCTGTAACTTTTTCTTTGCCACAGTGCATAAACCTTAATGTTACCTTCAGAGAGTTGGAAAATAAAGCCATACTTTTTCACTCGTACATCTCAAAAGTGCCTTGAAGTAAAGTTAACATTAAATGTAAACAGAAGTTTTACATAATGAGTAAAATCAGAATAAGGTATGTGAAAGCAGCTGCGTAACATCTTATAGATCATCCACAGGAACAAATCACCATCTGAGCTAGCTTAATTTGCGCTGGGCAGCTGAGGGCCAATATAACATGACTACATTAAGATCACATGTTGAAGAAATTTCTAATGAAAGGTCACTGAAACTCTTTCTCTCCGTGCATGCCACCTGATCTGCTGTGCATCCCAGCAGTTTTGCATTTTTTCAGATCTCCAGCATCTGCAGTATATTGCTTTTGATTTAAGGCCAGAGTCCAATGAACAGTGCAGGAGGGCATAGCTAAAAACTTGGTGAAGTTACAATATAGAACTAGTTGCATGCCAAACAGTGGGAACAGCACGCAACAGACAGGGCTAAGCAAATCCTCAATAAAGGGATTATATCAAAGCTCTGAAGTCATGCCACATATGGTCACGAAAGGATGGATAAACAGCTTAATGAAGGAGGAGGCTTCACAAACATTCCCATCTTCAATAATAGGGAGCCCATACACATTAACACAAACAACAAGGCTAAAACTTTTACAGTCATCTTCAGCCAGAAGTGCCGAATGATTCATCTCGCCTTTTCCTGAGGTCACCAGCGTCATAGATGCCAGCTTTCAACGAATTCACTTCAAATGATATCAAGAAATAGTGCTAGGCTCTGAACACTACAAAGGCTATTGGCCCTAACCACATTTCGGCAATAGTACTGAAGTGCTGGACAAAAGAATTGAACTGCACAGGCGAGATGAGAATGATTGCCTTTGATATTGAGGTAGCTTTCGACTAACTAGGGCATCAGGGAGCCATAGTAAAACTAGAATCAATGGGAATCAGATGAAAACTCCCTGTTGGTTGGACTCCAAATAGCACAAAGGAAGATAATTCTGGTTGCTGGAGGTCAATCACATCAGCTCCAGGATAATACTGCAAAATTTTCTTAGGTGAGTGCCTTAGGCCTAACCATCTGCTTCATCAATGATCTTCTCTCCATCATGTGATCAGAAGTGGGCGGGTTCACTGATGAATGCACAATGTTCAGTACCATTCCTCAGATAATGAAGCAGTCTGTGTCCACTTGCAGCAAGACCTAGACAATATCCGGGCTTGGAGTGACAAATGGCAAGTAACATTTGCTCAAGTGCCAGGCAATGATCATCTCCAACAAGAGAGAATCTAACCAGTACCCTTTGATGTTCAATTGCATTACCCTTGCTGAAAACCTCACTATCAACAACCTGAATGTAACCATTGCCCAGAAACTACACTGGACCAAACATATAAATCATATGGCTACAAAAGCAGATCACAGGTTAGGAATTCTGCAATGATTTGCACACCACCTGCTACTCAATGCCTGTCCACCATTTTAGTCACAAAATAGGATTGTGAATGTACATTCCAATTGCCTGGACGACTGCAGCTCCAGCACACAAGTAGCTTGGCACTACGCAGGACAGAACAGCCTGTCTGACGAGCATCCCAACCACAACTTCAACATTTACTTCCTTCATCATTATTGCACAGTGGCAGCAGTGTGTCAAAAGAAGCACTGCAGTAACTCACCAAGGATCCTTTCACAGCACCTTCCAAATCCACAACCTCTACCACCTAAACAGACGAAAATACCAGATGAATGGGAACAACGTCACCACAACTTCCCCTCCAACTTGTACACCATTCTGACCTGGAACTATATTGCTGCTCCTTCATTGTCACTGGGTCAAAATCCTAAAAATCCTTCCCTAACAGCACTCTCGGCTGTCCCTACACCCGAGGCCTGTAGCAAAAAGGCAGCTCACCACCGCCTTCTCCAGGGCAATTTTGGATGGGCAAAAAATGCTGGCCTCGCCAGTGATGCCTACATAAGAGATTCCATGAAACTATTTGAACATGAACAGGAATTCTCACTGTATAACATATGAACTTGAAACATGGAAAACTAAAATATTCATGACATGTTTCTTTTTAATTTATGACTTGCAAAATTAGCATAGCTTTCTTACGTAAACTAAGACTTGCACAACCTCAGTTATATTAAACAGACCAAACAGAATCAAATTTTTAAGTGCCACCATGGCACAGGCAACACATGTTTGTAAATCACTGAATGTTTTTGTTCTATTTATACAGTTCTTACTTTTCTCCAAAATGGAAGCTTTCTTTAAGTGACTTGAATTCCTTGGTAAGAGTATTTACTGAATTTTGTTGCACGCAGAGAAGATCACAAAGCGTATGTAGATCAGATTTTTGTAGTTCAAGGTCATAGGTGCCAGCCAGGTACAGGAATAGCACTCCAATTCGTAGACGGTTTTGCACAGAGCTTGTCTCAGAATTTGAAGCTTGATTTTCTGGACACTGCGCTCTTTCTTTCAAAACCTTGAAAAGGAGATCCTTAACCTAAACAACAAACATAACAGAATCTAAACTTATTTTCAAAAGCATTTCCAGTCAGTGTGGAGAGAAAACAATAAACATGCATTAGTATCAGGGTCTTACTATAGAAGCAATTCCACTTGAATTAGAGCACCAGACTATTTTTTTGTTTGGTTCAATTTAAAAGTATTTAACACACTTCCAAAATATTCTCTTATCTGTCTTCTTTCAAGTATAGCATGATTTTCTTTTTGTAAAATGGAAGGTATCTTCTACAACATACTGGGCAGAATCTTCCCTGCCTTGGAATGATTTGGGCATTGGCAAGAAAGTTGGGAGAATTGATCTGCACTGCAAAGCTTCACACTGTTGACAGTAAAAGAAATCCCATTTTGCAAACAAAGGCTGAACGTCGAGAGGCCTATCCAGATGCATTACCATCCTCATTATAATTCATTTCAGCTCATTGATCATCAGTTTCCCGTTCTCCCATCAACCAAATAGAAATCAGCCAGCGACTATTCCCAACATTGAAGTCAGAGCAGTAACCTTGTGATGCCAGGTTGCCGCTTGCTCGTTTGGGCCTTCATCAATCACCAACATCTCAGGGCTTGCTTCAAGGGTCAGGGCCAAAACTGACACAGTCTATTTCTGGTATGATTTGACCCATAGTTTATAATATTAAAATTAACATGATATAAAATATATCAAATCATAAACACCAGGCATGACTTGCGCCTAATTAGTAATTTAATCTAACATTCTACAAAGTGTAAAATAGACAAACAAAGGAATTAACTGATCTTCCAAAGTCATACCAATGCCAGGAGAAAAAGTACAAAAAGCAGCATCTACAGTACAACTTAGCATGCCATGTATAAATACAATTAGCCATCTTCAGAAGGATGTGTTAGAAAAGAGGTCAGTATCCTGTGATTTTATCCAACCTTTAGTGACTTTTTTTTAAGTAAGGTATGGAGAATGGGGAATTTTTTTAATAAAAATATTTCCATGCAAAGATTTAATGTTAAAACTGTCTTAAATAGTTTTATACACACATATATATACATATACACACTCAGAAGAAAACAATGTTTCAAACACAACTAATTTCTGTGTACAAATATACAATGCATACATTATGAATTGAATAGCTCCATACACCGCTTAATAATTCTACTCACTTCTTTCTCACCAACCAAAAGGGCTGACCAATTAACTGGTCGATTTTCGAAGACCATAGGATTCTTGTAAACCTCATAGAATTGCTGCAATTGATTCAGAAAACTCTTCAAATTTTTCTCATTCCACGTTGAAAGAATGTTAAACATTGACTCCACCAAGATTTCCCCAGCTATTAGTTTTCCTTTCGTTACATCAGTGTTTTTACTCCATTTAAAGATATTCTTAACACGGGCTTTGAAACCTCCTTCGGGGGCTGCACAGATAATATCATCATACTGATGCCATTCTGCATAAATATAAAAACAATCTTTTAGAAGTAAAATACATAAAAATACCAAAAATGCATGAGATTCTTTCAGACCCGAGCATCAACTGTTTACCTACTTTTCTTTTTAAATGATACAATGCCTTGCCTAAATCTGTTTGGATTTTTCATAGAAATCATAGAAACCCTACAGTGTGGAAGCAGACCATTCAGCTCATCAGGTTCACACTGACCATCAGAAGAGCATCCCATCCAGACCCTCCCCTGCTACCCTATCCCTATAACTCCGCAATTCCCATGACTAATCCACCTAGCCTGCAGAAACCCACGCAGACACCAGGGAGAAAGTGCAAACTCCACACAGTTTCCTGAAGGTAGAATTGAATCCAGGTCCCTGGCGCTGTAAGGCAGCAGTGCTAACCACTGAGCCACTGCGTTGGTGTGGGGCGAGGGTGTAACTGGCACAACAGTTAAGGGGGAAATTTAATTGGTTTCATATATTTGATTCTGTAAAAGGCATTCAATAAAGAACTTATGAGATTAACTTGGTGTGAGCGGGTTCATGAAAAGTAAGTAGGAATAAATGAACAACCTTTGGGCTGTAATTAGTGAATGCTGGGATCTCACCTATTAACAACCTGCAGTAAATGACTTCAGGAACAGAGTATTATGCAGCCAGGACTCAATGCTTGCTCTGTTGCTGTGTGCAATTTCTAGTAATGATAGAGACATGAACGTAGGAAATTTGATCAGTAAGTTTATAGTTATGTGGTGATCTTCTAATCTCAAGATAAGTGCTGGTCAGACGGGCAAAACAGTAGCAGATGTACTTTGATCGTGAAAGTGTGAAATAATGCATTTTTGGAGGACTCAAGGCAAGGTAGTATACAATGAACAGAAGGAACATGAGATATACTGAGAATCAGAGAGATCTTGGTGCGCATATCCATAGCTCCTTGAAGGCAACTGGGTAGGTGGACAGAATGGTTAGTGAGCTACTTACCTTTACGAGTTTAGGTATTGAATACAAAAACAGGGTGGTAATGATGAAGCTGTATAAGGCATCAATTAAGGCACAAGTGGAGTACTATGTGCAGTTTTGGTCACCACATTATAGAACAGATATAATTGCACTGGACAGCTTATGGAGGAGATGTTCTGGACTGGAATGTTTCAGCTATGAAGGGAGACTACGTAAGCTCGGGCTGTTTTCCGTGGAGCAGAATAGACTGAGGGGTAACCTCATTGAGGTCTACAAAATAATGAGTGGTATGGACAGAATACAAAGAAACTTTTCCCCTTACTAGAGGGATCTGTAACCTGGCAGCATAGAATTAAGGTAAGGGGCAAGAAGGTTTAGAGAGGATTTAAAGGAAAATGTTTTCACTACAGTGTGTCTGGGAATCTGGAACTCACTGCATGAGAAGGTGGTAGAGGTGGGAACCTTCACAACATTTAAGTAATATGGAAACAGTTTATCTTTATTCTATCAAAACAATTACAATTTTGAACACCTCTACCGAATCTTCCTTTAATCTCTCTAATGTGAAAACAGCAGTCCCAGTTTGTCGACAGTCTAGACACAAAGACGGCTTATTTATGCAGTGTGCATCAATAGGGATCTTCTTTTGTGTTCTGCCCTTGCAGGGATAACATATTCAATCCAACAATTTGCGATAAACTGAATACTGGAATACTTATAAGATGCCCCCTTTGTGCTCAATCTGTCTGATGATAAAACACATCTCACACTAAAACATGTATGTATAGACAAACATTTATTCATTTATATATTAACAGAAAATATATTTATTCTATAAAAAATATACATATGGCACACATGCTATTGTCCATAACATTATTTCCTATTTTTCATCTGAATCTAAAATCACTTGCTGGTTATGACTACAGTATTTTGTCAAAATAAAAAAATGTCAATTTAAAAACTGAACAGTTTATGGAACCAGCAGTAAAACAGGCCAGTAGTGCACTGTTACATACCTCCTTCAAAAACCAGGTCTGGTTTAATATATAAACAACGATTAGTGATACAATCATCAGGTGTATCCCACTTATAAATCGTTTCATACTCAGTTTTACCACTCTGCATTTTATGGACTGCATATTTATAAGGCAAACATTTTCCAATTATGTTTTTGTGAGTAAATAGATGTCCTTTGATTAAGTAACCGTGCTCTTTCAAGTTCCTGTTAAAGAAGAAACAAATAATATAGCTCATTGATTTATCTGAACAAGTCATATATGGATGAATTATTTAGATCCCTATTGATCATTTAATAAAGTGTAATTATTCTAGGTTCAGAAGGGTGATCGAACCTTACGCTGGAGTGTCAAGGTGCTGTATTACATAAAAATTTGCAGACTGATACAAGACATTCCAGAATTTTGGTCCCCCAAACTTATTCTATTATTCACCAGAAATCTGTCAACCGCCATTAAATGAACAATAGATGTAGCAAAGGGAATTCTAAATTTTATCAGCAACAAAAACAAAGTTGCTGGAAAAGTTCAGCAGGTCTGGCAGCATCTGTGAAGGAAAAAACTGAGGAAGGGTTCTGAGGAAGGATCACCGGACCCAAAACATTAACTCTGTTTTCTCCTTCACAGATGCTGCCAGACCTGCTGAGCTTTTCCAGCAACTTTGTTTTTGTTCCTGATTTACAGCATCCGCAGTTCTTTCAGTTTTTAATCTAAATTTTATCACTTTTGTGTGTACAGATGTTCCTGAATTTCTACCTTAAAAAGTCTGGTTACAATTTTCAGATCTTGCCCCCAGCCCTGGACTCCCTGATCAAAGGAAATAGTTTCTTTCTATCTATTCTAGAGCGGTCATGTGTCAACGATAACTCTCCATACTTTTGATGGGGGGAGGAGGGTATTATAAATATACGGTTTGGAAGACTTACATGTTGGGACTGTGATTTTAATTTAGAGTAAAATGGAGGAATGAAGACAATCATGTGACCTGATCTGACTTCTGCCTGACAAGTTTGGCTAGGTTGATAGGAGAATAAGAGTCCAAATTGAGAGATTTATTGAACATGGTGTGAAGTTCTCACACCAGGGAATAAAAGCAAGGGCAGATTTACTGGCAATGAATAAATGTTCCATTCCCTGGTGCTTGGGCAGAACAAGAGAGGGAAAGGACAGCAGTTGGTTTGGTTAGTAGAGAGAAGCTGTAACTTCTCTGAAAACCACCAAAGCAGATATGGGTAGGATGTGGTCTTTAGTTGAAGAAACATATCCCACAGCCATTCAAGGTCTCTGGGAGAGTCTTCTGGCATGGCTGGGTGGAAGTGGGGATGGGTCTTGGGGGTTTGGCGGTGAAAGAAGAATCATCAGATCAAGATTTATTGTTGGTGGCAGACTTGGAAGTTCTCTGAAAACTAAAGGGGAGTACCCAGAGTCAGTCACTCAAACTTTTAACAGCGAAAATATAAACCAGGGAGGATGGGAGTGACTGTTGTTTTTTTTATTATTGTTATGTAAATTTATGAGATTTAGAATGTTATTTCTTGTAAGTTTGGGTTATGGTCTTGAGTTAGTAACCTGCAGGTTTCTGTACATCTGAAATTAATAATTAATTTGCAGAGGGCCTTCTTGTGGTGCAGTGGTAGTGTCCCTACCCCTAAATTGAAGGACCCAGGTTCAAATCTCACCTGTTCCAGAGGTGTGTAATAACATCTCTGAACAGGTTGATTAGGAATTTGGGTTATTTTTTTAAATTAACTTGTAATTATTTATATAGGAATAGTATTTTTTTAAAACAGTTTTTAAGACCTGGCTTTAGAGTGAATGAGTTTTTATGTATCACTATTGAATTTATTTTTGCTTATCTTAGATTATTTTGGGACCCAACATGGTAAATAATGAGGCGTTGCAGTTTGTTAGAGACTTCTGGATCTTGATTAATTAAGCTTAAGGGAAACACTAATAGGTTAGAAAGGGAGACTTTTAGTTTCTGTTTTACTTTGAGTTTTGGTCAGTCTCAGGAAATTCATGGAACAGGATGTCTGTGTCGACTAGTGCTCCTGAGAAGGGAAGGTTGTACAGTGAACAAGGTTACTTTAGGGTGAAGAGATTGTGTTAGTCCCAAAGCAGAAGTATTAGCATAAAACCCAAAGAGATTAATTAAAGTGAATACATTGAAGCTCATATGTACAACAGCTCCAGGAAAAAAAATCTACAGTTGCAGTCTAAAACAGGGGTGTATTTAGCTGTGTCTTTTTCCTTTTCAATGTATGAAGGAGCGTTCTGGATTAACAGGAGAATGTTTTTATTCTGTTTGTTAACAAACTTCTGTTTTATTGCCAAAACAAAACCATTGCATGCTTATGTTTTAGTTAGAAATCACTTTGGTAAAATCAAAATATAATCTATCTAGCCAGATGCCTGTCTGGGATCTGATTTCTCTGGTTATAACATCAGTTAGGATCACAACAGTCATAATGAGTGCAATTTCACAGGGAGTAATATATAATCACAGTGTGAGATTTTCAACTGTATTAAAAATAAAGGGGGCAAGATCTTTTTCAGACTTGAGTATAAGTTGCCTACTAAAATAGGGTTTAGTCAATGGTTTTGATTTGTTACAGTAAAACTTGAAATTTTGTCAGCTGATTCAGTTTAGTCAATTCAAATACTTTAAGTTATCAGTTCCTCTGAAGATTCTAACAAATATCTTGAAAATTAGGATCAAATCATTCCTTAACTTTCTACGTTGTGGGGAATACACCCTAATTTGTGTAATCTTCTCTTGCGATTTATCCTTTGGAAGTTTTAGTTATCAGTTTAGTAAATCTTTGCTGCACTGACCTGCAAATCACCAACCCCCTTTCCCCTGTCACCTCCCCCACTAAAGTCCAGAACTGCTCTCAGGTCTCCACATTTGCACTAACCAGAGTTTTGTGGATCTGCGGTGTCTAATCATCTGTATTCTAGTATTGTAGGAGTAAAGGCCAGCATTTCAATAGCTTTTCTGATTAATTTTTGCAACTGCTCAAGGCTTTTGAAAGTTGGAACTGGACCTCCAAGTCTATAGAATCTTTCTGGTTGGTCACCAAATAGAAATGCTCCTGTTCAAACCTTTTTAGGTCCAAAGTAGGTAACCTCACGTTTACATACAATGAAATCCTTTTGCTATAGTTTTGTCTATTCTGTCTATTTACCAAAATATCTGCAGTTTTAGATTTTCATCTATACTGCTTACAATGTCTACAATGGTATTAGCAAGAAATTTAGATTTCTGGCTTTCTATCTCATCAGCCATGAGCTTGTTGAATGACGGAGCAGGCTCAGCACGCCAAACAGCCTAAACCCATTCTGAATTCAAACATTTGTATGTATTGTGCAAGTCATTAATGTATAGTGAACAAATGAGGCACAAAACAGATTATGCTGGGATTAATCACAGTTTGCTAATTAGAATACCTATCCAGTTTCCCTAGTGTTTTGCCTTCTGTCCCTCAGTGAACTTTCCAACCATGTCAGTAGGTTTCCTTCAAATCCATGAGCTTCTAACATCTTATAGGAGGGACTTTATCAAGTGCCTTCTGGAAGTTCATAAAAATTTAATCTATAGATCTTTTCCTGTATGCTGCTTCAGTTTAAGAGATGTTAGAAAGCCATAAGACAGTCATCTACCTATTCTTATAAAGCAGAAAAAAATCAAATTTCTTACAATCCTCTACTGCAAGTGCGTTCAATGGTTATAATTTTATAAATGTAAGACTCAGTTTTCAGAATAAAATTAAATAAGTTTTTTTTTTCAATCTACAATATCTAAAGAGAAAGGGCTTGCAAATTTGGCTGAAATGGACTCAGATTTGTCCAAGGAAAGGTTTTGAACTGATTTATATCCAGGATCCAAGCTAACTATTTTTTAATCAGGATACCAGCATCTAAATGGAAAACAATTTTAAGTTCAGTAACATACAGATGGACAAGAACAGAAGCTGTTCCTTACAGTATTTTGGGCAACTATGTATTCTCACCTCTGCAACTCTGCCTAACTCCACCACTGCCTTAGCTCAGCTATTGCTGAAATCCTCATCTACGCCATTTTTAATTTGAGATTTGATTCTTCTAAAGCATTCCTGGCCAGTCTCTTTTCTACCCTGCTACACCTTCCATAAATGTGAGTTTAGCTTAAACATTGCCACAAGCGCCCTATTTCATTTCAGGTCTCACTCACCCATTATCCTCGTGCTCACTGACATATATTGGCTCAATTTAAAATTCTTAATGGTACTTTTTAATCCCTGCATGGTTCTAACCTCTTCTAGACTCTGCACAGCCTGCACTCCTCCAGTTCTGGCCTCTTCCACATCCATCACAATTTTAATCATGTGAAGAAAAAATAAGAGTTAACGTTTCGGATCCAGTGATCCTTCCTCAGAACCCAAAATGTTAACTCTGATATTTTCTTCACAGATCCTGCCAGACCTGCTGAACTTTTCCAGCAATATCTGTTTTTGTTCCTGATTTACAGTATCCGCAGTCCTTTCGGATTTTAATCATACTGCTTTAAGCTTTGGAATTTCTTTCCTAAATCTCTCTGCCTCTCTACCTTTGCTTGCTCCTCAAAACCTGCCCTAATATTAGCTTGCAATAATGTTCTTGTTTTACTTCATCTTATTATGTCATTAAAATTGTCACATAAATACAAATTGTTATTGTTGTGAAACGAATATTTCATTCTGCTCAAGTCAAAATAAACTAAAATAAAAAAGCTGCTTTGAAAGAACACAAACAGCAAAGTAAGTAAAGAGGTAACATACTTGGTTACAGACATCTCCACTTTAGGCGTCTTCCAGTCATCATCAAGACCTCTCACAGTTACCATATCGGATTCTGGGTTGAATTTAAAATCCTTCGACAACAATGCATGGAAATAAATGACAACAGTGTCTACCTGTGATAAAGGCATGCTCCTGTTGATTAAAAATATATATACTTGTTTAAAGAAAGCTCTAATCATAGAAAAACACAAAATATTTAATATTCCATTTTACTAAATTTGCAGCTTTACAGTATTATATGACATTCAACTTAAACTTGCAAGAAATTTAATTAGTGGTCCAAAGTTTACAATAACAATCACAGAAAAACTGTCAACACCACTGTCTTTACTCCTCTGAAACCAACAGAAACTTCTAGAGAACACATATTCAGTTCAAGACAGAAATCTAGATGCTTCTACTAGTGATCTGCCATAGGTTGTACTGCTCAAGTCCAAGCAGATTGTAGTCAACTGAGAAATCACTAATCTGAGAAAAAAACTTATCCCTTTATGTGATGCGTATTGCTGTTAATACTCTTGGAAACAAAAGTTACAAATTGTTGAATGAGAAATGTTTTGGTTTTTAACAATAATACCAAGTTCATGACCATGACTGAAAAACCTGTTGGGACCTAAAAAATGGGGGACATTTGTGAAATACCAAACTTCTTCATTATAATTAGAAAATTGACATTAAAGTGTTGGCTTTTGTTTCAGCTTCAATCTTAATCTTATTTTAATTCCTGCCTAACAGCATTATAAATGTATCAACACCAATGGAACGCCATGGTCCAAGAAGGTCACTCATCACCACCTTCTCCAAGGCAATTAGAGAAATGCAATAAACTTTGATTCAATCAGTGAAGCCCATATCTCCTGAGGAATTTTTAAGAATTCCAATAATTTACATTGCTCTGTCAAATTTAATTAAAAGGACAGGATAAAAGTGAATTTTACTTTCTAGTTTGCATGTCAGGTTGACTGTTTACCCTGTTAAATTAAATCACTGTTGCTGGATAACTGGAGATTTCCTTGACTTGATGTCAGATTTAAACTTACGTAGGAAAGGAGAAATCCAGTACATGGAAATCACAAGACCTTTGAGGGCAGTATTCTTCAAGATAAGTAGTCAGCATTATCACTGCATCAATGACCTTGATGTTCATGCTGGATTTATAAAAATCAACCATCTCAACATAGCTGATCACTGCTGTGACAGGCTTTTGTCACCGGGTAAACTGCAAGCAGAGACATCCTTGGAACACAAGTCTTTATCATTCTTTCAGAGAATGTGGGTGTTACTGGTTAGAACAGCATTAAGTATGCATTCCTAATTTCCCTTGAGAAGATGGTGGACCACTATACTTCCTACAGTACCAGAGGACTCTCAGTGCTATCAGGAAAGGAGTCCCAGGATTTTGATCCAAAAACAACAAAGGAACAGTAATATAATTCCAAGTCATGATGACGCACAGCTCAGAGGGGACATTTTTCTTGAGGTACTGTTTCCATACATCTTTTGCCCTTGCCCTTGCCCTTGCCCTTCTGGGTACTAACGGTCACAAATTTGGAAAGTATTGTAAAAAAAACCTTGGTAAGTTGCTGTGAGTTCACACTGCTGCTACTGTGCACAAATGGGGGAAAAAGTGAATGCTGAAGGTGGTGGATTGAGCGCCAGTCAAGCAACTGCCTTGTCCTGTATTTTGTTGAGTCTCTCCAGTGTTATTGAGGCTGTATCCATCCCTGCTATTGAGGAGTATTCCATCACACTCCTGACCAGCACTTCGTAGACTGTGTCCAAGCTTTT